GTGACAGATGATTACCAGTAAAATTGAAAGGGAAGATTTTGGATGAAGTGGAGAGAAGTCAGTGGAGCAGTGTGTGACAGATGATTACCAGTAAAGTTGAAAGGGAAGATTTTGGATGAAGTGGAGAGAAGTCAGTGGAGCGGTGTGTGACAGATGATTACCGGTAAAGTTGAAAGGGAAGATTTTGGATGAAGTGGAGAGAAGTCAGTGGAGCGGTGTGTGACAGATGATTACCAGTAAAGTTGAAAGGGAAGATTTATACGACAGTGATAAGTCCAGTCATGTTGTATGAGGCTGAATGCTGGAGTTTGAGAAGGAAAGAGGAGTGGCTACTGAGGTGGATGATAGGGATGTCAAAGAAAGACTACATTAGGAATGAAACCATTAGGTTGAGGATGAAAGTATTGGTAACTTTGGAGAAGATGAGAGAAACTCACCTTAGATGGTTCAGTCATGTGAAAAAAAGAGACAAAGAATATGTTTGTAGCAGAGTGATAAATATGACAGTGGAAGGGAAAGAACAAGAGGAAGACAGAAGAAAAAGTGGATAGATGTAATGAAATAGGTCATGGGGAAAATGTGATGTGAATGTAGCTCTGATACAGAGTAGGGTGGTGGAGGGCAAGGACCAGAAAAGCAAACCTCAACTAACTGGGATAAATGCTAAGGAGAAAAGGTTAAAAAATATAGTACACCTAATATTTATGCTGTATTTCAAGTATAATTAATTAAAATTGTGCTTTGCTAGCTTGTAAAAGGAATTCACACCATAATAATTGGTGTATATATAAATATGTTTATTTTTTTCATTTTACAAAACTTTTTTTCACTATTTAGTAAAAACATTTCATAAATGTAATGTGCTGTGCAGTACACATGTTAATAAACTAATATCACTGTTTTGGCTAAGAAATTTCTTAAAATGAAACGTTATAACAGATTGTGGTTCAGGTTGCAAATGATGTTAAAACGTAAAGCCATTGAAATTAATTTACACATTTTTGTAATGTATGCATAGATGGCCATAATTCTGATAATTAATGTTGGAGTGATCAAAATCGTGTATTGGATAATAATTATCTTGAATATTCAGCTACTAACTTTTAACATTTAAAAGATAAACGTTTGCAAGTATAATCTACTGTTACCTCATTTCTCTTACATATAATAGATAATTTGGCTCTTAATATTTATTGGTGTACTGTAGCTTTGTATACAATGAGCTAGAAAATCATTAGTTTGTAGAGATTCTGTTTTGTGTGAATGTGAAAATTTTGACGAACAACTTGACCAAAATATCACTCTTCCAGCCACACGTGAAGTTTTAAAATGATTAAACTTGAGAATACAAAGTGTCAATGTTTTCATTAAACTTTTTTATGATTTCTTGTGCCATTGTTATATCTCAGGAATCAGTCATATCTCTCAAACACACTGATTTAGTTAGTCTGTTATAGATGTGGAATCCATTTTGTTTTAGGCCTCTCAATGTACTGACATTAAAGGGAGCCTTTAGTGTTGGAGAAATGCATGCTTGGATTGTATTCTGCCTTCCAGAAGTCCCCGATAAAACTATTGGAGATACGGCTAGTTTTTATTTTGTTTCAACGTTTCTAGACACGGTGCTGTCTTGTTCTTACAAGTAAGAGATTACTTTCTTCATTCCTTTTTATTTTATGATAGAGATTTGGTGAAACCAAAATCTCATGCTGTAAGATGAGTTAAATTTGGTGAAACCCGTATCTCATGTTGTTGAATATGTTAATTTTGGTAAAACCTGTATCTCATGTTGTTGAATGTGTTAAATTTGGTAAAACCTGTATCTCGTATTGTTTTAACTTATTAATGAAAGCAATGATT